GAAATGTTGAAAATTTTTTCATGTATTTGTTGATTGTATATCTTCTTCTGTGAAGTGTCTGTTCCGTTCTTTAAGACTGCATATTGTTGGCATGGTTGCTGTTAATATTGATCTCCCTATTAAAGATTAGGTATTTTCATGTAGTTTTCTAAAGATATTTGGTAAATTGGAAATTTTCTTCTATTACATGAATTATCAAGACTTTGACAAGTCAGGATTCCCTGAATAAATTCGACTATTGAAAGAAACTGTCCAGCTGAAATGAAGTTTATATGTATTTTTAAATTTTATCTTCTGAGTATGGTGGCGCACTCCTGTAATCCTAGCTACTCAGGAGGCTGAAACAGGAGGATCAAAAGTTCTGGGCAAGCCTGTGTAATTTAGCTAGAATCTATCTCAAAATTAAAATAACAATAATAAAAAAAAAGATTCTGGATGTGACTCAGAGGTAAAGCACTTCTTGAGTTAAATACTCAGTGACAGAAAATATAAAACTCCTCAATTTAAAAAATTCAAAAATATATAAATAAGTGCTGAGAATGTAGTTCAGTGGTAGAGCAATGCTGGGTTTAATTCTCCAGTATATACATATACTGGAGAGAGAGAGAGAAGCTTCTAGTATTGGTAAACAAAAATAAAGTCAAATATTTTGACATACATATTAAACTTTATAAACTGACATTTGCTATTTTCTGTATCTGTGTTTATAGAATAAATAAATTTAAATCCCTTTAAAGAACAAGGTTTCTCAAAACCATTGATCATTTTTATTCCAGAAAGCTTTAATTTTTCATTGATTTAATTTCTAGTGGGTGTTAATTTTCTGAATGGTGTCAAGTCTCATTTCATTTTTAAAGTTAACATTGTTGAAATATACAATATCCATACACACAACTTCACAACCTGTAGGAAGACAGCTCCATGCATTTTGCCAAAGCTAGCACACTAATCGAGGTAACAGGAAGCTTGAGAGACACCCTTGCAGTAACTCAGATGCCTATCCATCCCCAGCAGCCACTCTTATTCACAAAATAATCAGGGTTCTGGAGTTAGTATTGCTACATCCACGTTCTTCAAGTTCGTAATGTATCCCAACCTTGACATTAAATCTTTCCATCTGTTTGTACTTAAAGCCTTCTTGTAGCTACCTATTGCTGTTGTTAAGAAGAAATAAACATACTAATTCACACCAGACTTATAAGGTAAATGTGCATGATAGTAAAACAACTGAAATTGTAGTAAAAGAATGTAAAACAAACATGCTATTTGAAAGTAAATAAAATAAAAACAGCAAAATTTAAAATACTGGATTAATCCAAGAAGACATCAGAGGGGATAGAGGGAAAAAAAATAGAGCAAATTGAAAGAATTGAAACCAGCTAATCAAATGGCAGATAAACATTATACTATACTAATAATTGAAAAACAATGGATGAAATAATGTAATCAGAAAACAAAACCATTTGTTCAGTATGGCATTGTACCTGATAATGATATTTCATATTGGACCTTAGTTTCTTCTAGTTGTTTTTCAGGAATGTCTTTCCAGTCATTTATTAGAATGCCCTATCTGTTCTCACCAACTACTTATTATTCTTATCCCTAAAATATCACAAAAAATTCACTTCTTTTAGGAAGCCATTTATAATGCACATTTCTAAAGACATCAACATACTGATGGGGGATATTAATTACAGTTTACTGATTAAATGTATCATCACTATAAAATAGTTTTGGAATAGATTTGATGATCACTAGTAGGAAAACAATTTTCATCTTTAGGAAGAACGTTTTTCACTGTAAAAATAAGAAGGAATGTGGATTTTTAATAGAATACATTTTGGATACATGTGTATCTCTATCTCTGTATTTTCTATCTACCTATCATTTACTTTCTGTGGACAATAGTGGCTGATTTAATCTGTGGTATTCTCTTCTGGAATCTTTGAATAACGACTACAAAATATTTGGAATATTTAAAAGAACGTTTATTCTGGTTACCAATTGAAGTTGGCTAATTCCTATTATTGATTGTTGGCAATTTTCCAATTAATTATTTCTTTCAGGTTAAACCCTACTCGCACATTGCAAGAAATCTAATGAGTTATTCACATTCATATCACTTAATAATATATTCAGTTTTTGAATAAGTATAAATCCAATCTAGATATTAGTTTGAGAAAATGAAACTATTTTAATTTTTAACTAATGAAACTTGTTCCAAAAAATGAAAACGTGATTTTCCATTGATGTGTCAGTTCTGAATCCTGCCCTCAGGCAGCCACTGTACACTGTGCTTTATTAGCCATCAACAAATTGGCTGTGCTGCAGGCTGATGTTGATGGTTTAAGGATAGCAGTGTTAATAATAATGCCTTTCAAAGTGTCAGTCTGGAGGGGAGGCATTAATTGACCTCAAGAGAATATTAAGCTATAAAAAGATGTCTTTAATTTTGAGTATTAAAACAATGCTTCAAATGATCTTGGTGAAGTGATTGGTTAACACAATCCCAAACTGATTTTCACACAAGGTTTATTGCAGAGAAAATTTTGCTGCATTAAGTTCTAAAATGAGAAGAAAACAGAAAGAATAATTTTCAGATGTCTTTCTTCTCTACTTTTCTCCTCACAGTGAACATAGGCATTCAATTATATTCCATGTGCCCTGGTGTGCATCTCCTAGCAGATCACTGACCTGTGTAAACTCCATTTTATCCTCCTCAGTAGAGAAGAAGAGATTATGGGCAAGATAATCCTGTGAACTACAATCACTCACTGATTTTACCATTTTAAATTTCTAAATGAAATCTTGACAACTTAATATTCCAAAACTTCACCTGTTCAGGCAGATACACCTTATTTCCTTTCCTTTCTTAAACAGTGACCCAAGAATTTGGAAAATGAAAGGACGAGGAATGAGAAACTGTAAATATTATATTAAATGTAAATATTATATTATATTATATGTAAATATTACATACTTATAATATTTACATATATGCACATATATGTGTGTATGCCTCTAAGTATCTATCTATTTATCTATCATCTATCTATCTTGGAATATAAAAATAATTTTTACAGATATAAGAATAGTTTTTTAAAATGTCTGCACTTGGACTTTCAATTTCCAAATGGCCCATAAAAATGATCTCATTCATTATCAAATTATGTGAGGTAGATGTAGTCATCATAAAGTAATATCTAATAAATCTTGCTTACCTATTACATCTAAACCTCAAAATACACAAAGCTCAAGTTTGCCTAGTTAATAAATAATATGACTGGGCCTATTTCTTGTTCATCTGATTCTGAAACTGGTTTACTATGAAAGTCCTGCTGGCACTAAAACATCGGGTTCTATACCTTTAGATACTATTTCTCATTTAATTTGAAACAACACTGTTTAACTTTCATGCTCTATTTTTCATTTTTTTTAATACTTGCAATTTAGGCAATAGATATCCAGGGACACCTTAAGAGCTATTTGTTGACAGTGACAGACACTTCATTAGTCTAGAAACCCCAAGGAGAAGTTTTACCCATCATTCTATTATTTCTTCAGTATGGTTAAATGAGGAAAAATAAACTCTACTGTGAAGTCATTATGTATTTTACCTCACTGTTATCGTATTCATTTAATCTTAAAAAATATAACAACATAGCCCTTTCCTGATGGGAATATTAGCTTGTGCAATAACTTTGAAAACTCTTGGGCAATGTATCCATACCAGGTGATCCATCAATTCTAAGTATGTAGCCAACAGAAATTCTGTTCTTATATCTATATCCAAATACATGTAAACTAATACAGCAGCACCATTTATAGCAGCACCAAATGGGAAACATCTCACATACATTTAAAATTAGAATATATCAATAAGTTTTGATATATTCATACAATAAACAAGAATAACAAACTACATAGAAAAATATGGACATAGTTCACAAGAAGTTGATTAGAAAATATGTAAAATACTACATACTGTAGTCTTTCACTGATGAAGAATTCAGTAACTTTTCACATATTCCATATTTGAAATCTCTGCATAGCTTCATATCAAATATCTATATGAACACCTGCAAATGGCATCTTAGAGTACATGTAGGGATATGAAATAAAATATATTACCCTATAATAGTATAATAATATCTCTTAACACAGAATGAACTTTGACACATGAAATATAAATGCCAAAGACCTATAGGCCTTGAGGACTATTAAGGCTACAATGGGCAGCATTTGAGATGCTTTGGTTTTTAAAGGCATGGTTGAAGTGACATGATCTCGGTCACATAGCAATTAAGGTTTTTGTATTTTTATTTTTTGTCTTTTTGATTGGGTAATTGGATGCTGAGGCTGGCTACTAAAACCTATAGAAAGACTTTTAGATTTTGGTTTCATACAAAATTTGAAATGTCTGTATGTTACATCTCTCAAAAATTAAACGTGCTGCTGTCTCCTAAATGAAAGTTAACTCCCATCATGGAAATATTAGGCTAAGATCACAATTCAAGTATTGAAGGTATGATTTGAAACAGTTTCCAAGTTACTTTTCCAATGTCAAGTATTATGCAAGTAACTTAAAGAAAAGCACTTCATTTTGATTGCCTTAAACCATTTTAGTATTTTTTTGAGAGGGGTTTATTTGTTTGCTTCCTTCTTTTTTTAAATCACTTGGCATGTTATCTTACCTTTTAGAGTAAAATGTAAAACAAAGACACATCAGGTAGGGGTACAACGAGCAAACCTGGAGAACTTCAGTTATATTGATGCCAATGGCATTAGGATAGACAGAGTATGCAACCCAAGCTGTGATATGTTCTGTTGTTTTTCCACTTTCTGTTGTGTGTTCTGCTAAATATATTTTAAGATGGTCTAATGTGGGTGATCCAATTTAATCCTAATAGAGTACTCTGTGTATTATTGTTAGTAAATCTTGCCTTCATAATAATACCCATGAATGAGGCCTATTGAAAAGCAAGCATTTTTATCTTTAGGAGGATAAATGGGAAGTCACAGATCTCGAAGAATAATCAACTTGAACTCATGCTGCTAGCACAGGTATGGATTTTTAATGCAGTCTCAGGCAGGGAAATGCTTTCAGGCATGTTTTCTCAGTTGGGAGTTGAGCAGAGCATATGCACACTGGCACACACCAACCACTAGCCTTTGGCTGCTTGAGAGAGAAAGTCATTGTAAACCTGGATTTTAAACCAAATGCATTGGATGCCATCTGGGCTTATGCTTAAAAATACACTTTTTTTTTCTTTCTTTCTTTCTTTTTTTTTTTTAAGAAAACTGAAAGTCACAGAAGCTGGCAAATTAGAATACTAATATTTTATATTATTCCTGTCTATTGTAACTGATAATTGATATTCCACAAACACAGTTTGCCTTGAATTCAAATTATGTTTATTTGAGCAGTTAATGAATTCACCTCTAGGCATGTTTTAAAAAGATAAATTAATAAATAACGGAATGAAAATTAACATTCCATATAATAAAAATCTAGTTGCTTACTCCTGATTTTTCTTCCACTAGGAAGACAAAAGAAACCTGTCCAGTTTTTTTAAATATATTCTTGAGAAATGCATTGCCTGTAAACTTCTATGTACATGCATCTAACTTACCTGTACCACAGAACTCTGAAAATCACCAGATTTCTTATCTGTGTTGAGACCCACAGTATTTCCTGAGAAAAACTGATTGTCTAAATGTGTTAGTTGATATTTTCAGAGTAAGAAGCCAATGAAAAAATGTATTTTAGTCCTGTAAAAGAAGCAAAACTGGTCAGTTTACCTGCATTATAAGCTACGTGCTAAAAAATCTCATATTTTAACTGGTAAAATTATATGTGTGTATGTATTCAACTTTAACTTAAAAGTATAAAAAGAAAGCTGTCACAGTGGCATAGGTCAAAATCTGAAAGAATTCTAATAGAATTTTAAGAACAAAATATGAAGGTGTTGATTAACAACTGAAATATAATTTTATTTTCTTTTTACCACAATCCATCCTTCATGATTTATATTTGAAATGTTCAACACTGTTTTAAAAATAAATAAACGGAGCTGATGGATGTGGCTCAGTGGTAGAGTGTTTGTCTAGCATATACAAGGCCCTGGGTTCATCACCAGGACCACAGAAATAAACAAAAAATCCAAATTGGAAGATAATTTAAAATTCTATCAGTATTGTAGATAGTGTAGCTAGAACTTTATTTTCTGATTTAAAACACCCAAAATGTAAATAAATAAACAAACAAACAAACCAAGGCAAAGAAATAAGAGGCTAATTTTGTAGAATTGCAACTCTTTATCAAGTTGTAGGGATTATGTGAGAATAGTCTAATGGTGTCATTAGAACTGTTGATAGAAATGTGTGTATGGGAGGGAGTTGGTATAATATCCTGTAGCACATAGTTCTAACACTTAAATACTTTCTTTAGCATCTATTCTAATTAGATCTAAAGCAAACATATAAGGATTTGACAATGTAGGGAAGGATGATGGTAGGCGCCAGCTAGTGAGTACATAGATTTTATATATATATATATTACTTAACAGGATTGAGGATTAAACCCAGTCTCATGAAGTTAGGCAAGTACTCTATCACTGAGCTTTATTCCCAGCCTCCTATGTGATTTTTAAAGTTTGTGAACTTTATTTAACCTTATATAATCCTATGAAGAACTTAAGGTTAAATCTATATATAATAGGACCACAATAATGTTACCAAATCAATATTAAAGGCTATTCAGTCATCATTTTTCAGATAATAATGACCTCAAAAAGTGTTTGTCTAATACTATGCAGGGAGTTTGGACTCTTGACAGAGTTTAGGTTTCCTGACTTGGGTGGTTTTTATTTGATCCTGCATCCTTATCCTTTCTCATAATGGCTATTAAAATTCTATTTTATTTTTCTATTACCTCATAGATAATTGAATATAAAAAGAAGAGGTGGAAATACCATGGGAGACACAAAATTATCTTCAGTGCAGAAACATTGTTCATAGCTGAAAAAGACAACTTAAATAATGGAATTGTATATTTTTGAGCCACTGCTTTGTCTTATCATGAACTTGGAAGAAGGATTTTCTGTTTGCAACACTTATATCTCTGACTTACTTCCATTTAACATTGGGGCTGCTTTAGAAAAATAACATGAAATACTGGTTTTTATGTATACAACTTTACTTTCCATTTTACTTTGGTTTTTAAAGGCATGGTTGAATTTATTTTATAAGTCTTCCTGTATCAATGTTTAACATAAAACTGTTTTAAATAAATGCAGTCTTAATTTTCACATCTAGAATGATTTTCTTTTTTTTTTTTTCTTAACTCTTCCACCACAATCACAGTGACTTTTCAGAAGCATCTACACTTGTAGGACCACTGAAGCTTTGTGAAATATACCACAGCAGTGTGACACTATAACTTACTGTGTCTGTCAGCACTATCCGTTTATTTCTCATAGACCCTTGCACTTGGGAGGAATAAAATGATCTCCATCATTAATTTCCATGCCCAAATAAAGAGTTTCTCAGCAGGTTGCACATGAGATATTTAAACTGTAGTAATGGTAAGATGGTCATTAATTATCCAGAAATGAATCTTAAGAATGTGAACATTGCTTTCATGAGCATATATATCCCCTGAGAGATGCTGACTAAAATCTGGACAATGATGTACTAGCACCATTCAGGACAAGAATTGAGTGTTATTTCATACAGTCAGGAACTTTAGGGCATAGGTGAGCCATTCAAGATGATCTTAGAGCAAAGGGGGGAGGGAGTGGAACATATCTAATGCATTTCATGTCTGTCTCACCAAAAGCCATGAGCTACGTTAGCTACATACTTATGATACTAAATGTAGGATTTTAAAATACACAAAACAAAAACAAAAAAAATAGAAGCACATTAAGTCACCATTTATATGAATTCTTGGATAGTGTGTCTTTTGTCTAAAGTTATTATCTCTTAGACTGTCTAAAACAAAATTTGCTATTTTGTTCCTTTCTTATCACTTCACTTTGTCCTTTATTAGAACTTATCAGATAATAATTCATTTAATACTCAAAACAACCACATGAGCTAGGATTTAGTAATGTTCCCATTTTGGTGATGAGGAAATGAAAGCAGTAGTGGTGAATTTATTTGTCCTAGTTGGAATATGGACCCAAGCAGTTAGGCTGAAGAATGTGTTCTTAATATCACAAGTGGGAAATCCTTTCAGATTGCTTCTACAGGCCTGTTCTGTGACTCTTAGGGACCGATAGTCTATGTTTACCAATCTTCCCTGTTCACTAAATCATCATCTCTAAGCAGTGAACATTATGAGTTCTCTGATAAAAAGATAACACCCAAAAGAGAGTGGTAGTAGATAATTCACTTCTTAAATAGGCCACTTAGCTCTATCTAGGGCTACTATGCTTTTTTATTTCAGTTTTGTTCTACTTTTATGAGAAGAGTGGACAGAATTTCTTCTGAAAACTTTTCTAGTTATAACCCCCAATTTTTCTACATTTATAAAGTGCCTTGTCAACCTGCTACTAAATGTTTTTTTAATCATTCTTTATTTAATTTCCCTGACAGAAGCCTTGTGAAGAATATACAGATGTAATGAATATTTCATAAAGATCTGATTTATTAGGACTTCTCTGCCTTTGCTTCAAAAATTATCCATCCTTCAGAAAGCAAATATACAAAAACTACCTGCTGGTATAAGAACTAAACCAAATCCCCTAAAGGCAAGCTCAGATTTCATAATAACTTCTGGGCCTTATAGACCCTGGAAAAGATAGTTAGTCAATGTTCTATTAATATTTTAGCTGGCAAAGGAATATAGTTCTAAGCTACCACATGTGGCTGTCAGAACTGTCAGGTATGCTACTATAAAATTATTAATGATTTAATTTTTTATGAGCTTCATATCTTTTTATATGAAAATAAAATTGATTTTAGGTCTAGTGGTAAGGAAAATGTTGATAACAGTTCCTTTATGTACCTTAACAATACTGCCAATTCCTTTCTTAATATTTTCTATAACCGGCTACATCTGCATCCGTGATAATTTCATTTACATACATTTGCCCTACTCATTTCTGAATAGAATTACCTCCAAGGATCACCTCTTACTTTTACTATTATTGAAAGAGCTTAGTTGTCTACAGTGAATTCAGATATATTTAGGCACTATTATTATTTGCAGATGATCCACTAGATGGATGCCTAAAAGAACAACAGAAATACCTAATACACAAAGATGAATAACTGTAATCTAACTTTGCCTTCTTCTGTATAACTTTAAGTTAACATCTGACCTATTTTTAGGTTGTGCTGCTTGTCACTCATATAATTTTGTAAAAAGGAAAGATAGAAGACCTAATATACAATTGCTTTGTTGGTGCTTGTAACATTCAAACTATCTTAAATATGCACATGGATGTATTTATATGTTACAAATACTTCTTAAGGGAGCCAGTTAGCTGATTTGTTGGAATGCACAATTAGAGATTTTGTTCTGTGAAATACAGGGCTGCATGTCATGTTTTTAGATACTCTCAAAATAGTTTTAGGAGAGTCCTGAAGGTAATGTAAATGATTCAAATACTGTTTCTTCTTACTATTTTAAGGATTATCTGACCTCTTAATTATATGGTTCTTACTCATTTTTAAACCATCTAATTAAAACTAGTAATATTCATTAGAATAAATTTTGAAAGTAGATTCAACACAGGCCTAAAGAATCTGATTGATGAATCATATTTTTAAAGAGGCAAACATTGAAAAGCATTTTTATCTGATCATGAGAACATTCTTCAACAAACTGTTAAAAAGCCTAGATTTGTAGTGCTAACCTATACAACTGAGTAATACTGTATATAAAGGAGTGTCTCATGATGAGAACCAAGCATATAAACATTTGTGTAGATTTTATAAATTACAAAGCAAAATCTACATGTCATGAAAATATGATACTATTATCAAGCATAATGATATATACCTGTAATACCATTGACTTGGGAGGTTGATGTAAGAAGATCAAAAGCTTGAGACTGTCTCAAAATAAAATAAATAAATATGACATTATTAAGTTAGTGCTTCTTTCCATGGGTGGAGGAAGATTTACCCTTGAATCATTGAAGACTTTCTAAATATCTCTTTCCCCCAGAAAAATTAATTGATTACATCTATTTTAGACATAGTGGCAGACAATAGCTTTTGACTTTCATATTCATGCTTCTCCAGGGTAGCACCTATTATTTTGTCAAGACTAGGTTTTCCATTAGATGTAGTGGGTACAGTGCCTAGTGGGTGGGGAAAATCACCAAAATGTTTTAGATTCTTTTAAAATGAAAAGAGAAAGTGAACCTCAGGTTAAATACAATGTTTAATATATGATACTAATATATTTAGCTTCATAGCAATCCAATAATGAAATATACTTTTGGATATTTTTTAATTACAAACAAAGGAAGGAGCAACAAAGGCAAACGTGCATGTGGCCTACGGAAGTCACAGTGTAGTCTGCAGTTGTAGTCAATTATTTGTATAATGATTTTATCATTTATTTGTTTCTTGTTCCAATGTAACTACAACTGAGTTGTTCACATCATTGTCCAGTACAGGGTTTGTACATGCTGGTGTTTTGGAAATACTTTTGAATCAATGAAATAATGAATTTATTGAGCATGAATGAATCCAACAGAACTACTACCTTCTTTCTGTTTGGGGTTAATGAGGTGACTATAAGAGAATGCTGGTATAGAAATTATATATATATATATACACACACACACACACATGAAGATAAAACTAAAAACTGATACCCATGAGGAACACGTACAAGAACATGTAAAAGTCCTAATTAAACTTCAACCACATGAATAGAATGGAACAATTAAGCATACTATTAAGCACATGGATTGTGAAACCTAACTAGCTGAATTTGAAACCTAATATTCCACTTCTAAACTATGGTAGGTAGAATTTTAAGACGCCTCATGGTACCATATTCAATTTTGTGCTTTGTAATTTATTCATAATGTACCCATTACTCATTGTAGTTACATCTGTGAAGACATTTTTAAGATAATAATTAATTTTCAAAATCAGTTGACCTTGGGGCTGGGAATGTAGCTCAGTTGTAAGGGCACTTTCCTAGCACATATGAGGGCCTGCATTTGGTCTCCAGCACAGAAAAAAAGAAAAAAGAAAAAAATAATCAAGTAACCCTAGATTAGTGAAATAATTTGGGTGATTAATGATGATTAATCACATTAGGCATTTTAAAGCAGACAGTTTTCTCTAGTGTTTCCATATGAGGAAGTCAGAGATTTGAAGCACGGGAAAGATTCAAAGTGCTATTGTAGCCTTGAAGATGGAGGAGGCCACATGGCAAGAAATGTGGGCAGACTCTAGAATCTGTGGGTGGCTCTGGTCTGATATCTGGCAAGAAAATGTGACCTCAGTCCTACTTCTTCAAGGAATGATTCTGTGAACAACAAGAGTATGGTTGGAACTGCATTTCTCCTCAAATCTCCAGACACACTTAGTCTAGCTAATATTTTGTTTTCAAATTTGTGGTACATGGAACCAAGAACTCAGTTGTGCTCAGTAGGGCATATGAAATACACAGCTCAGCTTTTTTATTTCACTTTTTAAAATTTATTTATTTTTAAATTTTGAGACAGAGTCTTGCTAAGCTGGATAGGGTCTTACTAAATTGTTGAGGCTGGCTTTGAATTTTCAAGACTTCTGAATTTCTGGGATAACAGGTGTGCACCACTGAACCCAGCTAAATTTCTTATAATGGTTAAATATCTGGATTTTAAACTTAGCAATACCTTCTTGGATACAAGGTCAGATTAACCAGAAAAGTATCTATTTTACTTAGGTTAATTTTAAATATGCATCTGACACTCAGAAGTTATTCTGAACAATAGACTACTGAATGGATGTCTCCCATCAAAAAGATACCGCTTTAGTTTGAATCTTGAATTTCTCCAAGAGCTTCATCTATTAAAAGCTTGGTCTCTAGAGTGGATCACTGGAAGGTGGTTGAACCTTTAAGAGGTGGGGCCTAGTGTGAGACCTTTATAACACTGAATCTCCTCAAGGGGATTGTGAGAAGCA